AAAACAAAACCCCACTAAAAGAACCCCTCAGAAACAGGCATCTCTCTCTCTGAAGGAAAAACTACTACATTGTCTGAAAAGTACTCTACAAACCTATAAAAGGACTTTTTTTTTTAAACTAGTCTGGTAGTTCAAAAGGAAGTTACTTAACTACATCAGTACACAGACACTTAACATTCAGTCAGTAAGGCTCTGTGAAAAGAGCTTTAAAAATTATCTACCTGAGTTTGTCAGTTGATACAATCATTAATAGAAGGTCTAAGACCATGCAGGTACACAAAGCATTTTTAGAACCATTATTGGTTGAACAATGATGGAAAAAGATGCCAGTCTGGCTTGTTAACCCGTAAGATCACTTAGAGACATCAATGTACATTTCCCACCATAACATTTACCAAACCCAACACAGCCTATTGTCATTAGGGATCTCCTGTACCCACTTCTGCCACCCCTTAATATGAGCTGGGGAGGAAAAAGGACTTCTTTTTCCTATAACAGAGTAGTCTGAAAATATGCTTCTGCAACTTAACTCCACAGGTAAAACGGGGCATGTTGCACATCACTACTTAACTTGCCTAAAACCCCAAGACACTGGTTTTAAACTGCCTCTCCTGAGTATGTCTGAACCTAAGCTGCCCTCCAGGAATAGGAACTTGATTGCTTTGTCATGGTGGAAAAAATCCCATTGAGTCAAGCAAGCTACAAATACAATCACCAAGTCAATAAAATAAAAAAACAGGACCTTATTCCCTTCAAGCATTTGGTATAGCATTGTGTTTACAGCAATCAGAACACCAGTCCTCCCAAACAGGACACATTGGTAGGCATGCATAAAAGTTTTTCTCTTGTAGAGAGAAGACCTAAAGGTCTTAAGGGACATAAGAACACTGCAAATGAACATGAAGGATGTCACGTCAGCCAGTAGTGTCATAATACTGAACAAAAGGTTACACTTCCATGCCTTGTAGTGAAACCAGAACAAACTCGGAAGCATTTCAGGTCTCAGTCCAGTTTGCCTGAACATTTGGTTTTATTTACAGATTCTCTAGCAAGGGCAGCTTAATATCTCCATAGGCAGGCAGCAAAAACAAAAGCAAACAAAAGCAGTCACCATATAGTACACACTTAGTATCTCTGTTTCAATTAAAATGCTTTTCCAACAGGCAGGATGAATCCTTCCCCCAGGCAGATTCTCAAGTATTTCCCAAGCCTGTCTGATGCTAAATTGAGGTAGATGATTTACTTCTGCAAAGTGAGGTAGAACTTCAAGCAAAAGATAGTGGCATCTCTAGTTGTGCATTTTGTACCACAGCAAACTGGGTTTCAAACTCCCAAGGACTCAAAGACCAAAGGTACAATATTTGTCTAACTCAAGTACCAGTGTTCCTTTTTTATACAGTTCCAAACTGTTTGTCTAAATATCTCTACTTTTAAATACCCTATTACCTTTTGGCACCATTTGGCTTACACTCCTTTAAAAAATAAACAAAACTTTGGCACAATATTTTTTTAAACTAGAACTGAACAAAGAAATCTTAGGATCAAAGTTATGGCAAGGTGATTCTATAAACCTGCTCTCTCCAGAAATCAATTTTGGTTTAACTAACATAACCCATTGGGCCCACTTTCCTTCAATTCCAAGGGAATGCCACATCCAAGTGACTTGTTCTTTCTCTCAGGTTGGTTATGTCTGGCCCTAATATGCATTCGTTTTCAGGTGTTATCTTCCTTTCCTTCCTTTGTTTGAAAGTTTCAGGTTTAAGGGCCCTCCTTAAATAAGTTATATTTAAAATGTACTAAATCAAAAGGAGCAAGTTATGTGAAGGACCTGCATTATCAAGTACTGAATCTGCTTCAGTTTGCTACTAAAGTTCCTGCTTAAATAATTCTGAGAAAGGATAAGATTGCTTTACATGCTGAGCACCCAAACCAGCCACACTGATTGCTGATAACATTTTGTCAAGCAAAAGGTTTACAGAGAGCCACTGGTTTAACCTGGCATAGAGAAAATCCTTTGGAGTTCGAGTAGACAGCTCTGTCCCCCACATTTGCTGTTCCCCAGCCAAGAGGCACACACTCACTTTACCCTTCTCCAGGCCATTTCCCCTAGTTAAGAAGGTTACTCCGAATACTTGTTTGGTTTGCAACCCAGCTTCCAAGCCTTGTTTTCCTCTCTGCATGCATGTACATTATGATACTGGGGCATTAACCTGAGAACATGCATAGAAAAGCAGAGCAAGGTTGGAATCTCGTTTATTACTTTTTAATAAGCCTCTATGGGGCATCTGATGTTGGCATTGTATATTAGCACTACTTTTTTTCATTGCATATAAAACACTCCATTTTATAAGCTACACTACCACTTTTCAATGAGACCAAGTGTGCTTAGCACGATCTATCACAAAGATAAGGAATTCTTTTGGGTAGCTAAATAGTAGTGTTTTTAAAACGAAAAAGCTCCCCAACAACATGAGGTCAAACACTCAAGGTTCGGTTTGTAAGCAAATCCCACTGAGTTAAACAGACAGAAACTTAGAAAGAGTTTAAGTCATTCCTCTTCCTGACTGAGCTGGGCTGGGGGTTGTGCAATGGCTCCATTCAAAAAGCAAAGGGCAACTTCAGTGTCTGTCACCTTCCACAGGGTGTGGGCTGGGAGGGCAAAACGTCCCTCCAGTACAACACAATCCTGACTGCACACTTCACCTTTTCTTTTTAATGCCTGGAAAAACAACTCCCTTCTAGCCACAGAGAAGGGCAAACCCCACAAGCATTTAAGCACAAGAGCGTTTCTAGGACACTTCAACGCTGTCAGCCACTCTGGTCAAAGCATTTAGAGACCTGGCGCTTTCATTAAGACATGACAGGATAAATGCAAGGACACTGCAGACTAAATATTAAAGCTTTTTAAACCACTATTCTTTGGTATCTAGATCTTGCAGGCTGTTAGTTTTCACAGCCCAAGTTGCAAATAACTCTTGGGCTGAATAATACAAGACAACCACGGACATCTGTCACAACTGTAGGCCACCCCCAAGAAGGGAGGCGTGCACACACGCAGAACTTGCAAAACCTGAAGGTAAACTAGCTCTCTCTGATACATGTTTTGTGCGGCCACAGAAATTTATTGACAGACATCTGTATAAAAGATTATCCTTTCATACTGTTTTTAAACCATGCCATCCTAAGATTAAGCCTAACTGAAACACACTGCTTTGAAGAGTTTGCTTCCTTGAGGCTTTGGCTGAAAGGCAGCACAGTTGTTTTATCCCATTTAATTTAGGTGGTTTTCCTCACCCTTCTTTTGAAAGAGGTTTTGCCATCTCATGAATTTTGTCTCTTTCTGGTCCTTTAGTTTAAGCCTCCTCTAAAGTGGCAGCTCTCTCTGTCTGCACACATCATTGGTATTTCTACAAAACTCAGAAAGTTAACACTCCTTGGAGGGGAAAAGCAGCAAGAAGGAAAGTGCACCTTGTGATTTCTCACAAACTTGTAAAGAGCCTGTCAACCTCGGGTCACTTTTGTGCATGGTGGCTGGCAGAGAGAGGAACCCTTTCCTTGCAGGATGGTTAAGGCTCGTCAGACTTTTTGACAACGACCAAATTTACATTTCAAAGATCTTCTCTTGCAAACAGTAAGGTAAATCCCATGGCATTTCCAAACTCAAGAGTACTGACACTGAAAGAGTTTTTTCCATTGCAGAGCAAGAGCCCTCTCTTGCCCACTTTAAACAATTCTTGTTTGCCAACACCAGAGGGTGAAGCTACAGGTCTGCAGAGACCATATCTGCTTGAACAGCTAAACTGGAATGCAGGAAATTGAAGAATAAAACCAAATCCTTCCAGGGACTCAAAGTCACATTTTGCTAAAGAGATCTCTATTCTCCCCAAAAGTTTCTGCTTCTCAGAACACCAGTTTCTAATATCCCCGAAAGGGCAAACTTCCCCCTGCCTCCAAGCTTTTAAGGATCATATACATTAATTTTACACAGAAGTCTTTGGTACTGCCCTGGGAAAAAAAGCAGCAAAGTTTCACCTTGATGCAGTTTGCCTTTAGCTGGTACTGGTAACTATTCACTTGGATCTGTAGCCAGAGATCCTGCAGCAGGGAGCTCCAGGCCCACCCCACCCACCCTAAAAGCTACAGTAGCTATTCCCAAAATTTTCAGTCCAGCTCTCTGGGGAAGCCAGAAGAAGAAAAAAAAAAAAAAAAAAGAAAAAAAAATCAATCAGTGAGAGAGTTATTGCAATTCTCTCTGAACAAAAAACCCCAAAACAAAACAAAACAACTGTTGACTTCTCCAAATCACACCCTGAATCTCCAAAGCTGTGCTTATTTCTTTTGGAAAAAGGTACCACTTCTAACAAATTCAAACTTTATTCCCTTAAGGTTTCTCTATGGGAAGGGGCAAAATACACTAAGTCATTTCACAAGAAAGTAAATCGAAAGGGTTTGATTTTCTCCGTTTCAATGCTCCTCCTAACTTCTTCTGTTACCTAGATTAGGGGCACTGATAAAAAGAAACAGCAACTTTTTTCAAACTAATTTAGCTTTCAGGTGAAAAGAGGTAAAAATGAAATTCTCAATAACAGGATACACTAAAGGAAGCCTTGCTTTTTATCTAAATTTTACAATGACTGCACTAAGCCACTAAAATGAACAATTTGGTTTAAACTTAAAAGAATTTTTGTGCATTTTCATCAGCTTCACTTTGTGCTGTAAAATTACTGTGTTTCAGTAAAAAAAATACACAGAAATGCCAAAAAAGATGCAAACTTGCTCTTCCTGGCGAGTGAATCTCACTCACTTTCATAAAACATTTAAAGTTGTCTGGGAACAAGATGCTGTGCTCGCCAGTAAATCAAACACACTGAGGTATAAAAAGGAGAACAGGAAAAAGTTCTCTGCTGCAGCAGCAATGAAAAAAAAAACCAAAACAAAACCAAAACCAACAACAACAACAAATGTCCCTCCCTCCCATGTCCCCACCCACAGAACTGCAGAATGGTCAAGAACACAAATTTCTCTACAAACACTTACTACCATTTTCTCCATTTAAAAAGTTACAAAGCGCCTTTCTTGGCTTAGTCTAACAGAACTCACCACACAAACCACCTAATGTGCACAGCAATTCTCGTTTGTGCATGAAACCCCATCGGGGAGGAAAGAGGTAAAACGTTCTGAACTATGAGTATGTGGGGATGGGGCGGGGGGCGAGAAATCGGGGAGGGAAGGGAGGACAATGAGGTAGATAGAATTCAATTTTACAGGCTCACTCCCTGCAGAAAAGGTAAGTACATTCATCTGTAAAAAAATTAAAGATGAGGTAGGTTTGAATTAACGTTGTATTTTTTCATTTTCTCTTAGAAGAATTTCCCTGAGACAGTTTCTTCCTAATTCAAACACAGATTAGAAGACGAGAATTCGATTGTTTCCAAAGTCGACCACCACAATCATGCCATCAGGGGTGACAGCTATACCTGAAGGACGGTCCATCTGACCAAAGCCGCTTCCCTGAGTGCCAAACTTGCATAAAAAGCTACCATTGGACTCGAATATCTGCACCCGGTGGTTCCTGGAGTCGGCCACGATGATGCGCCCTTCCTGATCCACCGCCACCCCCTGCGGGCGCAGGAACTGCCCGTTGCCGGTGCCCTCGGAGCCCAGGAAGCGTGCCGACTGGCAGTCCGGGTGGATGACCAAGAGGCGATGGTTGTTGAAGTCCGTCACTACCAAGTGGCCCTCGTGATTGAACGTCACGCCTCTGGGGGAATCAAAGTGCTTCCAGAGTACCCCTTCGAAGCCGTACTTGTTGAGGAACACGCCGTCGGGCCCGAAGAGCTGCACGCGGTGGTTCCTCGTGTCAGAGACCAGGATCTTGCCCTCCGCGTTGACGGCCACATCCCACGGGTAATTGAACTGCCCGTTCTTCGTTCCTTTCTCCCCGAACTTCAGAATGAACTGCCCCTCGAACGTGAAGATCTGGATGCGATGATTGTCCTTGTCGGCCACGACGATCCTGCGCGAAACGTCGCAGGCCACGCCGGCGGGGCGGTCGAACTGGCCCGGCCGGGAGCCCAGCGTGCCAAACTTGTGATGGAAGGTCCCGCACGGCTTGAACACCTGGATGCGGTTGTTGCTGCGGTCGGCGACGATGATGAAGCCCTCCTTGTCGACGCTGACCCCCCAGGGGCGGCAGAGCTTGCCGTCGCTGTCTCCCTCGCTGCCGAAGGACAGCCCCGGCAGCCCGATGCCGATGTAGCTGCGCCCGGACTTCACCATCACTTTGAAGGGGCTGTTCTCGATGTGCTGGTTGCACATCATCACCGACACCAGGTGCTCTCCCTCCAGCTGGGGACGGTAGCTCACCAGGTAGGTCCCGTTCTGCTGATCGCTGACGTCGGCCCCGAACAGGTTTCCATCGGGGCCCATGACCACGGCAGAGATCATGTCGCCCCCCGAGAGGCGAGGCTCCCCGTCGTGGTCGTAGCCGATCACGGTGAACGAGGCCACCTTGCCCTGCAGAGCGCGCTTGAGACCTTCCCCCGTGGCTTTGGTCAGGGGAGCGAAGGCCCCGCTGCTGACAAAGCCCATGGATTTGATGGCCATATACAATGCCTGGTCAGGGGGGGTGAACATGATCCTGTCGTCCTCCTGTGGCTGGAGAAGGCCTCTGACGTTCTTCAGCTCCTGCACCTGAGCCAGCATGCGGTCCCGAGCCAGGAGAATGTCCATGGTGCGACCCTCCTCCAGGACCTGCTGAACAGCACTGATGGTGTTATCCAGCTTGTTCAGGTTCTGACGCAACTTTTCAACTTGCAGGTAGAGGGACTTGGCCTTGACTTGGCGAATCTTTTCCACCTTGTGGGAAATGGGGGAGAGAAAAGTGCACTTCCATCAGGAAAGACAGACCACAGAGATTTCCTTCAGTCTCCCTTCTACATAAAAGCCAGCTGAACAGTTGCTATGGCATGCTGACACCCAGCTGCAGAACAAACCTCTAAAACTCACAATGCAGACAAGAAGAAACAAGGAAAACAAATATCCAAATTTAGGATTATTAGTCTCTCCTACCCTCCAGGCAACACCACACATTCCTACTCTGGAGATCTGCTGCATCAGAGTGACATTTGAGAGTGAGAATCACTTGCTTACTAGTAATTATTTGCTTCCACAAATGCTATTCTGTTTTCTAGTTACAAGGTACTTGACAGATAATCCAAAGGCACACCTCATTCAGCCCCCAGGGAGGACAGAAGTTATTGCAGCCTCTCAGAAGAGCAGAGGCTGAGGCTTCACTAACCAGAACTGAGACCAATTTCATAATGTGGGTTGTTGTGCCACTGGGCTGAGCTGGGAGTCAGCACCAGCTAATGCACATGGGCTCCTGTCATTCCCCTACCTGCCAGAACTGTTTTTGTGTGACTGGATAACACCAGACATCTATCTCCAGGGATTTTTAGGGTCTGATTATTTTAATATTTTCTTGTAAATACTGGCAGTCAACCTGAGCTTGTGCTTTAAAACAGGATGTTTTGTGAATGTCATTTCAAATAACACAGAAGGTTGCTGCCAGTCCCTGCTTGAGGGACTGAAGTTGGTGCAAAAATGCCTGTTTTGTAACTCATCTATATAAGTCTGTGTCTACCCTTACTTGTGAAAAACCACTTTGGACCATCTGGCAAAGACGCCTGCTGCATAAAACTAATGTAACATGTCTTTGTTTTATTGTCGCAAAAATACATTTCCTGATGTCTGAATACTTGCTTGGCCTCAGAACAGTATCTGGAATGCATTTCAGTGAAGGAAGACTCAATGTCTGAGGATTCCTTGATCAGACACTGACTAGATAACATATGTACAAACATGCTGTAAATTGAGGTGTGTAGGTTTTACCAAGCTGTAAAAAAAATTTGGAGATACTTCTTCCAATCAGTAATGCATCCAAGACACATTACTGATCTTAGGTCTTAGCTAAATCCATAGACTCAGCCCTGGTATACAAAATTGTTTATTAGCATGCTTGATACACAGAATTTGTTTTGCTAAAATGATTTTCCACCACGTTTCCTTCTTAAAATAATGTTTTTCAGCTTGAAGAGAACTTTCTGTCAGTGCAGATATTCCAACTAAGTGCATTTGTACAGCACAGTAGGATAAAAAAAGCTTAGGTGCAGATCTTACTCCTCCTGTACTAGGAACACCTTAAAAGAGAAAGCTGCCAAGCTTACTGCAAGAGCTTAACAGTGAAAATCCAAATCCAAACTCTCAAAAAAGCAGCATTCAAAGAACACTAACTATATAAAGTGCAATTTTTATCTTGCTATTGACACTTACAAAAGAAAACAAAGCTTCTTTTGCAGGGGACCATGGCCACTGAATTACTTTTCTGGAACAAGAAACTTGCCTGTTATTTCCTTTCCTCCTCTCAAAATACCACGCATGCACTGTTGAACTGAAATGAGCCTATCAGTTCAGAATTGTGCAGATACTCTTTTCTTATACTAGTTTAAAAAAATTGCTGAGAGAGAGGACGCTACCTTGTTTGACAGTTTTAAAGGTTTTAAAGGATGGGGACAGTGAAAGTTGGCCTCACAGAATTTCTACCAGCCTTTCTAAGAAACAAAAAAGGACAGGATAGGATATAGAGCTTTGCTCCTGTTCTTTAAGAGGAGTGGATCAGAAAGCCAATTATACTATGTACCTAATTCTAGAGCAGGTATTTTGAAGACATTGTTCGGAGGGGATCTCCTCTGGGGGCAGCTGCGGGGCCAGCAGGGGGAGTGCCCAGCCCGCGTGTGGGGCTGTGCTGCTCCCGGGATCCAGCAGCAAAAACCCCACCAGCAGCTCCAGGCAAGGAAACCGGCAGCTTCCCTCGGATATCAGAATCTGGCTGTGTAGTGGTTTGAGCAATTTTTCAGTTTGAAAAGCACCTGTCAGCAGTACAAACCACAAATGTAAGGGTGCATACCTTCCAGAGCAGCTCACACTCCCGCTCCTCCAAGGCCTTCTTGTGTCTAGTGGTCACTACCTTGACTTCAGACTGTACCACCTTCGCTTTCATCTCGACTTGCTCTGCCACAGCCTGGGCCTGTTCAATACTCAGCTGGGGAGAAAAAAGATACACATACTTAGGGCTTGACCAAACCAATTAAAAATACACCAGAGGACTGCTGCTTACATTTCACATTACATGTAAATGTAATTACATTTAATTTTACACTTACATTACATGCAAATGTAGAATTACCTGTCTTCAGGTAAAGGCATAAAGTGACAACTCTTACTTTCTTACTAGGCCTTCTTCACCCATTCCATACACTGCAGCCTAAAATCTCTAAGGATTCTTTAAATACATCTATTACATGGAGTTTACACCTTCATTGTACCTTGCACCCTCACAACAGCACTCAATGCCCTGTGCAATTGCAGCGAGCAGCTAATGTGGTGAACAAGAGACTTGCACAGAAATTCATACTCATGTTTTCTTCCACGTAGAGAACCCAGCTTTTGCAGCCCCTCAAAATGGTTCCCTGTTGTTGTGTGATGTTCTAGTAAAAAATGGCACTGTAGGGAACAGACTGTGTTATCTATGCATTTGAGCTGCACAGAAATACCCCTAAAAGAGTGTGGAGATAATCAGTTTTAAAAGAAAAGAAAAAATGGTTATCAGTAAAAAGTATTCATATAGTTATTCACACCTTGGGTAGAGGTGTGAATTATTTCTAATATTCAAATTATTTCTAATATATAACATTGCAATGTTAATATTTTAAAAATATTCTGTAGTCCTATTCTGCAGAATGAACCCAGAAGAACCATGTCTCTTTTCCCTTCCTCAAATTAAAAATGGTTTCCTCAAAAAATCTGTCCTAAACTACTCCCAAGTTTCACAAAATATTACAGAAAGCAGCATAAAAACAGAGACTCTGCAGGATCACAGTTCCCAACAGAACAGGTTCAATAGCAATGGCTAACAACTTTTTCAGCCTTTGTCATACAGCGAACCAGCAGATGAACCTGTGACCCTAGAGAGGTTAAAAAGATTGTAACTTATTAGTTACAAAATTCTAGAACAAGATGATGGCCTGTGAAGATATTCAGCCTAAAAAAGAGAGGAGTTCTTACAAGTATTCACACACTTGAGGGGAGGGCACTGAGAGGACAGACCCAGGCTCTTTTCAGTGGTGCCCTGTGACAGAACCAGAGGGAATGGGCACAAACTGAGACAGAGGTTCCCTCTGAACATTAGGAAACACTTCTTTTTCCTCAGACATTCAGGCTCATTGAAATCAGCGAAAAAGGAATTTAAAGGCTTTACCATACATACAGAACCTTCAGGAAGATGCCCTCATTTTAACTGTACTTATGAGGATGCACCAATCTAAGAACACTTCTTGCAACAATCTATGAACTACCCGATGTGATCCAGCATCATCTAGAAGGTCAGACAGCACACAGTCATATTTCACTAAATGGTTGTTAGCATTTTTGAACTCTCCATTCAGCAGCTTCTAGTTTATGCCAATCACTGGAATGCTAAAACATAAAAACTTAAATATAGTGTTACTTGGACATTTCTCATACCAGGTAAGTTATTTTAGGACACCTAGTCTGAACTAGACTTATTCTTCCAGGTCACATAGGCGATCCTTTTCTGAAAGAAAAAGGACAACTTAACTTGGCCAGGTGATTGCTCTCTGGAGACAGGCTGAAGACAACCCTGACAAAATCAGGCAAGACAACATTTCTATCTTTACTCCAAAGGATTTTCCTGCAAACTATCAGGGGAAAACAGGAGTGCTGCTTGACAGCCCAGTCTGCAGCCCAGGGCTCAGTAAGAGGAAGAGGTGTTTCACCTCTCCCTCCTTCATGAACTTCACTACAGTTTTAACAGGGAATGTCTTCAAACTCATACAGCCTACACATCCCAGTCCCACTGGAGGCTGCCCTGCCCTGCCCTCTCACAAACCTTCTGGCAGGCAAATTTGACAAAAAAATCTCATTACAGTATTCAGCAAAGTAGACATGAAGTCACAACTGGCCATGGATTAAGACTTCATAAAAGCCAATAGGCTCAGATCCAGCTAAAAGAGGCTACATGTAAGAATACTGTGCCTCTACCACCTCTTTGCCATTCAAACACAGAAGCTGCCCTACAGCAGGGAAAAAGCATGCATTTTTTCCAAAACAGACCTGGATTCCCATCAAGTACAGCAAAACACCTTCCTTCTCTTGCAAAGAGAAAAAGGTATCACCTTGTCAAGTGTCAGGGAAACTATCCACCCATATTCCAATTCTAACAATGATGTCTGTGAAAGCATAAAAATCTCAATTTACTTATTTTTGCTTTTTGTATTCAGTACCAATTTAGAACTATGATCCCTATATATGCATCCCTCATTATACCTTACATAACTTACCTCATTAATCCCCACTAAAACCAGAGTCCACCTTTCAAGAACTCCATCATAGCAGGAGAGGTAGCAATTCCCTGTGGATGCTGGGATCTTTCAGCTATAGGAAGCAGTTATGCACAACCAGTTGTCTACCAACTACTCATGTCATCATCTGAATTTATTTTTACTTGCCCAGGTATGAACAGCTCAGATCAGTGGGGGATGCCCAAAATGCTAAGATTCTAATATCATCCAGGATATTGGTGATGTTTTGGTAAAATTCAGAGGGTTCTGCACTCTGCCCAAATAAGCTAGAACAGCCAAGGAAGGCTGACCAGCATCAAACATGCAGAGGTATGATGGGGAGAACAGCAATAGCAAGTGATCTATACCTGAAGCAAAAGTCAAGAGCATTAAGTACAATTTTTGAGAGTCTTCTTCACATGGAAATTCCTTGTTCACTTTGGTTACTGTAAGGTGTCAGAGTTCTGCTATGAAAACTCACTCCTGCAGGCATTTTCTGTGCTGAACTTGTCTTGGAGAGGTCATCTTTTTAGGAAGCATGTTGAGCAGCAGTGCTTCTTGTTCTGGTCAGACATCATGCAATCTCTTTAACAACAAATCATTGTAAAGAAGAACAGCTTTTATCATGCTCTCTCCTCATGGCATGTCAGTTTTTCCAGTGCTAGTGAATTAGATGGTCGATCAGTTCACACACTTGGGACACAGAAGACAGGGCCTGTGTTTATCCAAGAATTGTGCTTGGTTACTGAATGAGAGATGGAAAACAACTGTTTTGTTTCCTGCTGTTGGAAAATAAAGTAAATCATCTATTTGCAGCTGTACCTCTCCACCTCTGGCCTCTCAGGGCTCTAAAGATGGCCAACACCACTCCCCATTCTATCAGACATGTCACCAGTGCCTTGTGTTTGTTAAAAACAAGTGAGAACAAGAACAACACTGCTTTGCAGTGTATCTTGTAAACTTTAGGGTTGAAACTGGTACTTCCAATTCCCCAAGGGTAAAACTGAAGTAGCAGCAGTCCTTGTGCAGGTGGCACGTTCCAGGGGGCCACCACCCAAGGACACTGCACACAGAGCTCCCAGTGAGGCACATAAATGTGTTTGCATGAAGGACAGCAGTGCAGACACCCACCACCAGCTGCTGCTACCAGCACATTTCAGTTTTGAGCAAAAGCTCAAGGGCAAAGCAGTGTCAGAACCTGGGTGTCCTTCACAAGCTCCCTTAGGTGGACACCTCTGTGAGCTCCCCTGTATCTACATTTCACCACCTGAGGGAAAAACTAGTGATGATCTTGCTCCAGTGGCCACAGCAACTGATGGTACAACATGAACCCATGAAGAAACCAACTGCAAGAGCCAGAAGTAGCAGAGTAGCATTACAGAACTTGGCCATGCTTCTGGATACCTATGCTGACTACAGAGGTGCCCAAATGAAGACTTGCCATTTTGCAGAATGGCAACATTCAGTAATTTTTTGCATTTCCCGTCCTCTGTTGAACAGTAGGAACTACAGCCTCAAGTTACAAAAAAAATTTATATTATTTCATTTTTACCTAAATATGCCTAAGGGATATTTAATGCTCGAGACTTCCAAGTTTTCACTAGTGCTACTTTGTTATATGAAGAAAAAAAAAATTATCAGAAGCATAAAATGCCTCAGGAGAAAGAAAAACTGTTACAAAGCTTGTGCTCTGAAGAGCTACAACAGAGGTGCTGATGCCCTCACTGAGTGGATTCTGCTGTCTGACACTCAAATTAAATCAGTATGTCCACAGTTATGCCCACCCAGCACACAGTTATTTGAAGAGGCCACCTCAGGTCTCATAACCAGCAGGGTGATCCAGGTGCTGAGCCATGATGTTAGATGACACCAACTTAGTCCAGGAATTTGTCCAATTGGACAAACTGCAGCCACACACCACAATGGCAGCACCATGAAATACATAAATGCTGGCTTGCATGAACATATTTGATAAAGTCCCTAGGATTTTTTTATTCCATCCATCCAAAGAGGGGAGGGAGCTATAATTTTTCAGCCATTAATTCCAACACTTAAGAAGTTTCCTGATCTCAAGTTTTCCAATGAAGGTGCAAACCTCTGGAGAGAAAATTCAAATTCAAAAGCATTTGAACATTTTGGTTCTACTGAGGAATTCTTCCGTATTTGAGGGGTGAATGGACCACAGGTATTGAATAAAGAATATTAAATATACACTCTCCTACCTCAAGTATGGAGGATTTGCAGTTTAACCATTAAGGAATTTAAGACTAAGTTAACCCTAATCAGAGGGGAACAAAGAGCTGAGATGCTTCTTCTCTCACAAACTCCTTTCTGGATTTCAAAAGCACATTAACTACAAAAAAATCCTGAAGGAAACTTTTTGGTATGTCTCAGGTTAGCCGTCTTCCACCAAATGGAAGGTGTTCCAGCCATAAGTGGTTTGTTTTCAGTTCCTTAAGGCACAAAAAGATATGGTGGGTTTGTTTCACTAAACTTTTCCAGTTACTTATCACTGAGCCATGCAGGATAAAACAACCAGGACAAAACAGTTGGCTTTCTCCAGCACCAAGAACTGGATACAAACCTCCTGGTGTTCTTATGGTAAAAAAATTACCTGGAAGATCCTACACAATTGCAGAGAAAATACCAGGATTTGCAGTAATACAGGTGCAGCTATAGCACAAACCACAGTAGCTGGACCGATTTAAAGGTTTCACTCCAATGTGTGTAAAACACTACAAAAACACATCAACATCCTCACTTGAAGTTCCTCACAAAGATAATTTTAAAAGAAGCTTTGATGGAGGGAGGGCTAGAGGCCAGGTTAATTCATGCCAGATACAACTAAACAATCATTTTGGTTTGTGCTGCAAGAACAGACTTTTTGCCTACAGTTTTAGGCAGAACAGTAGTTTGGACAGTGACACATGTCAAATCCATCTTCCCCAGTAACCATCTGCTCATATGCTGCACTGAGGAGCTCACTGAAACACCACACAAAACAGTGACTAAAAGTACAAAGAAATTCAGCCTCTTGATACAAATCCCAGCTTTAGAAAGGCACAATTGACTCCATTTTGTTGCCAAAGCTTCATTTCAGATTCTCAAACCTGCAAGCCTGACTTCAAAGCCACGCACAAGGCTGCCTGAGCTAACTCAATGTGACAACCCCAGAGAGATCCCTTGCAGCACAGCAGTGCCATCCTTCTCAGGTATCGACCCCCCAGCAGCACACATCCATATGGCAGCCCACAGGGAAGCTCCCACCCAAGGGCAGAGGCTCAAGGCAACAGATCAGCTTCCTCCTCTGGCCAGCTGAGTTTCTTACAGAACCCCCTCACCCCCTGTAAAGGTGTTAATCTATTTCGTACCACTTCCCCCACAAATTTGGGAGGGAAGCTCCTAAGCCTTTCATGACAGATAAGAGCAGCTCCTGCTATGTTCTGCACACAGCCAGTCTCACCAGGCAGTGAGAAGCTTGCATGGTGGTCAAGCACCCCAGCAAAAACAATTATAGGCTCAGCTAAGAAAGAATTTATTTTGTTTTCGAATAAACCCACTTTTTAAGACATCTGAGCTGAACAGATTAAAATGTACTTTGACATGTTCACCTGGAAATTGACCCTAAATGAACACAAGCACTCAGTGCTTTACTGTTACGCAAGTGCATTAGATTACATGCATACATCCATACATATATATACAGTTACACACGTATAGATGTATTTTAAGAAGGTGACATTTTGAAGAAGCCATCTATCTTTCACCATAACAGATTTACGTTCAGTTTGTGACCTAGTCCTTGGAAAAAATTCTGAAAGAAGACAGCTAAGTGTGCACTTTCGTGAGGTAAAACAAGGCAGCGGGACACGCTCCCCACATACAGAAAGGCAGCAGTCCTGATTCCTCCCACACCATTGATCCAGCGTCAACTTTGGCTTTCATATCACCCCGTGAATCAATCTGAGTCTCTGAAAAGGCTGGAAAAGTATCCCAGCTAGGAATATAGCTTTCTGCTGAAATAAGAAAAGAGTCCTACCAGCACCCCAGCTGGATGTTGCTGCTTCATTCCCTGGCACCATCAACAGTCCTTGCAGCACTGCAGCCAACCAGCCAGGGGGCTGACCCAGCCAAAAAGTACAGCCACAGAAAAGCTACCCTTTCAGCTGGATCAGTTCATCACACAGGCACAAGTTCTCAAGTTGGAGACAGGCTCAGGAATGCAGGCCAGGACCATCACAGCACAAGGAAGCATGGAAGGCTTTCCACTGCTGCAGAAATATCACCAGGGGTGGGGACAAAAGCAAGCCTCTTGCTCTTTCTTACAGAGGACTTCAACTTCCTTGAACAGCGATGTTTGGACTCTTCTGGAGTGACAGGCTACATCAGGCTTCAGTGGATCAAGAGGTTGAAATGTATCCCAACTCACAGCATTTTTTTTTAAAGTCTGAAAAACAATCTTTCCTCCAAAGCCACAGGAAGAGCTTAAATAAACATTTCTTCCTAAAAGCCTTCAACTTTGCTTAACCAGATACTCTCCAGCCAGTTGACTCATGGCTTGATTTCCTCTCTCCTGCAAGGCTGCCCTTCAAATTCCACCTTTTCCCATTTACTCTCAACTACCCCTCCTCATCCATCCTCAACCTCTCCTGTCAGGGGAGCTATCACTTTCAGAGCCTATTAAGAAAGAGTTTCTGGTACAGCAGTATGTATCAGTCCCACTAAGAAGTGTTACTACAATGTATTACTTTTCAAGCCTCTCAGAGCTCCAGTCTTACGTCCCTCATATCACAGCTTGTACTGGCATTTAATTCTCTGTTGGCTATTTCCATACTTTTAAGAAAACCACTCAAGCCAATTTATTTTAATTTAGAGACTACTTATTTTAGAGTTTGTTTTGAATTCATGCTGGCACACTGTCTCCTCCCTAGGATAAACATGCAGCTACACAGCCATATTGTCCCAAGAATAAGGAGAGCTCTGCTCCATGAAAACTTTGAGTTGAGCACCTCTGCTTTTAACAGCATCACATGCTCTTCTGGTTGCTGCTGATGTTGCTTCAGGAGCAGCTGGCTTGGGCTGAACAATTTTCCCATTCCTGCACACACAGATTTTCACCCTGTTAACTTAATCACTGACTTGTCTGCTCACTACTCTTCTTTTGTGCAGTGGTCCAGATTAAGAACCCCACTAAACTAATGAAACAACTCAGCTCTTGAAAACATGGTTCATTTTACAGATCTTTACACAAGCTGCTCAGCTAATACTTCCAAGACAGCCTCTTAAGCTGGATGGGCTGCAGCCAGACCTGGGCAAAGCTGCATGAGCTGAGTTCAGTAGAGGTAGAGTTGCTTGTTCAAGTCACATGAGCATAGCCAGTACCAAGAAACTTTTACCTGCACCATCAAGCAACAATCAGCCCACCACAATGGCAGGAGTCTTCAGCATGAAAGGCAGAAAAAGATAAGGGAGGAATGAGCAAAGTAAACTCAGTTGGAAGAAAATCAGGCACAAAAGCATTTATGCAATAGAAGCAGAATGGTGCTCCATGATCTCCTGCTAGTTTCTACTCCAAAACACAGTCCTTAGATGATTTAGTGTACCAGTCAGATGATTAAGAGCCCTGGAGGTCAAAAGCAATAATTTAATTACTAAATGGCAAGCCCTTGTCTAGGACAGCCTGGAGAAATTCAGTGATGGTCTTTAAACTAGTATAATTCCTTCCTTCTTGTCATTTTGGGGATGTGTAAAGCATTTCAGTATGGATACTGCTGAAGAGCTTTACAACCTAGTTTAAAACAAATCTTGGAGGATGCTATGTTTTACAGGATCCTGACTGAAGCTGGAGTTTAAAGTTAGGCATCCAGCTCCAAAAACTTGTTTATTGTGCCAGTGAAACAAGTTAACATCACAAGCTGAAGGAAAATGTCAACAACTGATTACTATCTATAGCAACATAAACTATTGTCATTCCACTGGTGCAAAGACTTAATGAGAGACTAATTAGTTGCTCTTGTCTCACAGAACAAGCTTAATTCCTTCATTTACTAGAAACAAGCAGCAATGGGAGGACAATGAGCTTCGGGTTATTTTAATTATTGTTTGTACCTTGCATGTGCCAGGAAAGCCCACCCAATTTGGAAAGTAAGTTACCTGCCTATCCATGACATTCTACAGAAGTTTACTCAAAAAAGAAATAAAATCTTAGTAGTTAAAGCATGTAGTGTTGAGTTTTGTAATACTTCAATCAAATTCAGGACATGACACTAACAAAACTACATGGCAGCAGGTGTGGAGTGAAGCTTCCCACTTCTCCACTTCCCATTCAAAGTCTCCCTATAGACCAAATTACTACTAATATAATATCAAAGTTACCACTGGGTATTACTCAGCAAAAGTAATTATCTACATATCACTGCAGTTTAACTCCCTGTGAAAATTCCTTGTCTAGTTTGAAGCACTGTGCTACCTTCTCTCCAGCCCTTGTCAGGTGTTTGTATTTGCACTACAAAACACAGGTGATGGAGAGCACAGTTAACAGGCAGAGTGTGCCTCTGTGTGTGCAGAGCCATCCTCACATGGAGATAGCTCTGGATCCTCTGCACATGCAGATTAAGGAATTTCACACTAATCCAGCAGCTGATTAGTATTTTGTATTTGGTGGCAACACTGAAGACATAACAAGAGTCAAAGGTAGGCAGAGTGCTAGAAGCTATAGAGGCAGGAAGATGCTCAAAGAAAGTCTGATTTGTAAAAACAAAACCAGGTTTGGCACTGCCACATAAGATCTGAGCTTTCTTGAAACGCTTCACACTCCAGTGCATTTGTACAGAGCTTCATATATATTGTGATTTACATGACAGGATTATGCTGCAAGAATGCAAAACTCATATAACAGCACTTTATTTTCAGCTCCACTGCCACTTCTGTCAGAGATCTGAGAAAACAGAAGGGGTGAGAAGACTGACAGCAGAAGCAGAGAGCTTTTTGCCTTGACACCTTGCCCTGTAACAGACAAGCTGGGTGGGAGAGGGGGGAGAGGAAGGAGGGGGAAATAAAGTACTCAAGTTGGGAGTATCTTACTTGAATAGCCTGTCGTCCTTGCTGAGCATCTGCCAGGAGCTGAATGGTGAGAGTCCTGGAGTCCTGTAGGGCGTCTTGGAGGTAGATAAAGCTGTGACCCACATGTCGTCCCATGGTACATTCCCGACATATGGGGACAGAACAGGTATCACAGTAGAAATGCAGTACCTGCAAGAAGGGGGGGAAAATTAATTCTCACTACATAAAGAAGAAATAAAAAAAAACAGAGCCAGGATGTGTTAAAAAAAAAAAAAATCCAAAAGCTGAACTATAAAGGAGATGGTTAGAGGCAGTAGCAACAGGCAAAGACTTCACAATAGTTTCTCCACAGAGGAAGAGCTATCCTTCCCAGTAAACTCCAAACCATGCCCTAACAGTTAGATGGAAGTGTCATTGTTTTCTTTGCTATACAATACTAGGAAGAGTGTCCACATCAGCTCCTCTTAAGAGCGGAAGCCATCTGCCAACACTTACAGACTGGAGATGGCATCTACGGCAAGTTTCAGGTGAAGACTTTTCCTGAAAATACAAACACCAAATTCTCTTAAGAGGCCATTCAATAATCAATACACTGGAGAGCTGCAACAGCAGCACACCCACTGCTCACAAGGGGAAAACTAACTATGCATGCCAAGAACCATCCTCTCTTTTCAAAATATGCAAATCCCTTATGTTCAGGACAGCAACAATATTGGGGAAAACTCCCCCCTGCCACTTCCATCAACAAAGCAAAAATCCTTTGCTATGACAGTGTTTTCTATGCTAGCGATGCTTTGAGATGCTTGAGTTGGAAAACAAGACTGGAACTTTATCACGCCCATCAGTGTTTGAATGCTGCAGTGACCTGTGGGTAACCACTAAATCCCCGTTCTGTTCACAAAGCACTCCCAAACCCTATATTCAAATCACAACTTAGACCAAGATGCTAGCCTAGAAAGCTGGATCCATTCATCGGCTGTAGCTGCTCCCATTCCATCCAGTAGAGGGAAGTAGCACATAGAAATAGCAGCTTCCATGGAAGCCTGTCTTCTTAGAGAGAAGCAGAAACCAGCTCTCAAGTTTTTATTTCCAAAGATGCACATGAAGGAGCACAAGATGCCAACAAAAGAAAGTTCTGTATTCAAGTCTTGCTCTTAACTACACACACTATTTTTCTTAGACTGTAATAACAGAAAATCTGTATTACAATGGAACAGTACAGTGGCACAAGGTTTCATACTACGAACAACTTTTCCATCACCAGATATTTGAAGCCTACCTCAGAGAAAGGAGTAGGAGCAGAACAAAGATTGGACAAGTGTTTGATATGCCTGTCTTCTCCCAGCTGTCATCCAGCCACTGCCCACTCCAGCTAACAGCTCGTGACATGGGGCGCATTACATCCCCCTTTCCCTTCTCCCTCAAAAGCAAGGGAAGGACAGGACAGGTGATTCCCCCCTTGGATTGCCTGGGCTGCATAAAGTGACATTTTAAGCTCCTACAAGCGCAACAGCTGAAGTGGTACATGGATTAATTTCTCAAAGGGGTATGTGTGTGTTCATGTGCACATGTCAAATTTTACTAAAACCTGCTCTTTTTTTTCTGAAATTAGGTTTTGCTGTAGGGAAACTGGAACAGACTTATGTTTGCTTCTGTTTAAACATTAAATCCTCAAGCAGTGTCTCAGATTCCCATTTTTCCAAGTAAAAAAATGCCTTAGGTCTGAAATGCATTGTTCCAACACATCATCTTCCTTAACTAGAGGGATCCTTGTCCTTACACTGCGGTTGTCTAAATATGTATACCATGTCCACTTGCACATGAAGCTCTGTAATTTTTCTGCTGAAATTACAGGGAATGTTTATTACATGCTCCTGAATAACTCCACTTAAACAACTGAGAAGTTGAGGGAGAATGAAAACCAAGACAAGGTATCAAGTTAAGTCATATGAATCTGATATACTTTAAAAACATACAGCAGGGATTTGGGGCCTCACTCAAGCAGAGCAGCTGAAAAGAAAATGGTGACCATATGAACAGAAGACCAGAAGCAAGTTAAATCTATGACTAGTCCTATACAATAGCCAATATCAGGAGCAAAAGCTCAGTCCTCCTCCTCAGTCCTGCTGCAAGGTAACAGCATCCACTGGTAAAAGAGTAATCCAGCTGTTCAAGCCAAAGAAAAAAAACAAGCTTAAACGGTTTAGTTGCCTCTTGCCACCCACCAAAATGTGGTGGGAAACATCACTCCTGAATTTTGAATGAACAGTGGCAAGAGCCATATTCTCATTTAGGAAATGGGCAGATTACACAGGACATGGCAGAGGAAGGTCTTGGGTAAATAATATAGAGTCATTGATAAGGCCTTATTTATTTCTTAGTCAAGCAAATAAAACAAAAAAGGTCAAAACAAGACAGACTAAAAATGGAGAGCAAAAGAGTTAGCAAGCTGGGGCAAAAAGAAGTAGATATGTTGGTCTGATCTCCACCACTACACTTTACCTTACGTACACAGAGGGGAAAATCACAAATGCACAATCCCTAGTGCTCTCTGTGGGGAGGGGGGCTGGCCAGATAGGCACCAGAAGAGCACTGAAGGAAGTCAGGCTTCAAAGTGAACTAGTAACTCCCCAGAAACTCTTTCCTGGGCACAAAGACTACAAGAGAAGCCCCAAACTAGGCAGGGGTACCAGGAAGGGCAGGTCTCCTCCCGCAGCCACTGTCACACACACTTGTCAGGGGCACCCAGCAGGCTGCGCATCAGCTCTGCCAGCAAAGGGGGCACGCTCCCAGAGAACAAACCTGGGAAATCTCTGGCTGTGCTGGGCACAACAGTGAGGGGGGTGTGCCAGCTGGGCTGCTGGGGCGTGGGCACAGCATCCAACTTGCCTGTGCTCGCAGCCACAGCCAGGAGTTTATTGTTAAGCTCAAGCCTGCTCACATCCCAGTCCCTAGGTCATGGCCACAAAGGTCACGTACTGCTAGATTAAGTTTCTATGCCTGGTTCTAAATAGAGGGGGGTGGGGGGAGCCAGAGCTCCCCTTTCCCCCATCCCCCAAACAACCAACTCCCTGGAAAAAAAAAAAAAAAAGGAAAAAAAAAGATAACCATGCTGGGGATAGGTGTAGGACAATGCACAGCTGTGTTCTCAGTTCAGAACTGACGCACACACAGCGCACCCAAAGCAGTTCCAGTTCCAGCAATGTGAGACGGCCTCCCCACATTTCAGGTCTCTGCTACTGCAGCACTGCAAGGCTCCTCAGGGACAAACAGCTCCTGCTCCTCACAGGGCAAACAACAACGCTGGTCCTGAAGGGTGGATGGGCAGAAGTAGCACGAGGGAAGAGCCAGACTAAATCTTCCTTAGCGGACATCAGCTTACACTCAGGGAAAAAAAAATACACACCACCCCAAAAAAATCAAAAACCCCACCAAAACAGTATTTATAGAAAAGTCCTATCCTAAAAATTTTCTCCCCTCCCTACCTGAAGAGGCAGAGATTATACAGCCAGAAGATCCATCAAGCTGTAAATTAACTATTGTCCTGTTAATTTCACTATTTACCCAAACATAGGAAAAACTGGTTCATAAGCAAACACCTTCAAACATTGCGGGTTTTTCCAAACCACGTGAATACTCTGATGGGCAGCAAGGAAAGAAGCATGAAAGCAGAGACATTTCTCCTTCCAAAGAAATTTATAATCTGTGTAAATTGCATTTAATGAATTGTTTCTTTCTGTAGTAATTATTAAGTAATTAAGTAAAAATAACATTTTAAAGATAAAAACTGGTGCCCTACAACACCCTACCCAGTAGGGAAAAAAGATTAATAAGCAAGTTTAGGAGTTTTTATTCCTTTTTTTTTAAAACTGTTCTGCTCAGTTAATTAGTATTTTAGAATTTCCATCAGAATTAAGTGAAGAGAGAAATCAGAAGGAAGAGGGGACTAGTTTTAGAGATAGTTAAAAGTGATTTATTTTAAAATAAATCAGCTATGGGTTGATTATTTCCCAAACAGGAAATATTTCCTGAATTGGTGGCATACAATTTTAGACACAAAACAATAAAGGGAGCCTACTTCAATTTAAACAGAATCAGTGAACCATGTTACAGGGCTATTCATCTTTTACAGCCACAGCAGCCCAAGAAATACAACAGCAAGGCCATAAATGTGATTGCTTCAGGAAAGGCTGTACAGTGCACCGTAAAAACATTTTACAACAGCAGGAATTCCTGGGTGTCGCTCTCCCCATTTTTTGGTCCATCTGCTTTCAAAGGGGGCAGGGGGATGGGCGGAGATGTTGTTAAACGTCCCCCGGGACTGCACAGCAATCAATCATCATCTGATGAATGGCCACTAAAGTTAAACCCTGACCCCACTCCACAATTCCCACACCAGCCCTTCTCTCCTTACTGCTGACCAGCTTCCAGCGTGCCCCCCCACCTCCCAGCCCTCACCAAAATTTCCCAAATACCAAGCCCAGACAAAAGCAATGGAATGTAGTAGGCACCCTGACAGAGGAGAATTCAGCAGGAACAGCATCTGAGGAGGCTTATCCTTACACTGTGTTTAAATAACTGTTCTTTCAGCAATACTCTCGGTGCCCTTCTCCTCCCAGCTTGCAAACACTTCACTTCTCTCATTTTCAGAGCACATGTGCATGCAAATGGACAATAAAGCACAGAGAATCTAATCACATAAAAATTGTGTCCTCTGTCATGAAATTTCAGTACCTTGCAAGGATTTTATTTAAGCCTACAGCGTTAGGAATTTGTACAAAGCGACAACACATAAGGTCACATTATTTTAAAAATGCAAGTCTGCTCTAAAAATCTACCCTTAACCAACTAATCTTAACCAACAATGAAAGAAGTCTACAGACAAAACAGTAGCCTCCTGGTTTCCAATTTTGGAAAAGTTTCAGTATGGTACTTGTAAATTAACTTAGATTGATTTTATGATTAAAAAAAAAAACTTACTATAGTCAGTTTAAAGTTTTCCACCACTAAAGGTGTTTTATTATCAAGCTCCCTTGACAGTACCTCCAACACCAGTGGCTTTGTTAGGTAGTGTGTAAGGCTTAGATGACCGAGTTTAGTATAACGCAATTTTCTAAGGAATGGTCCTACTTCCTCAACACTGTGGGTTTGATTTTTTCTTTTTTTTTTTGCTTCCCTCCCTCCC